AGATTATATTTTTATTTAATAACACATTTTTATAGTTTATTTATTCTATTTGTTATTATTTTTATTGTTAGAAATAAAAATTTTTTTAAATGATAGAAGAATTTATATTTTTTCTTTTATAAGTACTATAAATTCAAAATAATTTATTCAAAGTTTCATTGTGATTCATTACTTAGTTACAAAGATATAGAACAAAAGTAAATATTTTGTTTATTTACTAGACAATTAGTTTCTATCACAACTCTATGTAAATAATCTTGAATATATAATGTACTTATATTAAAAAGTTGAGATTTTTATGATTTATTTTATATATTTCCATATATTTTTGTTAGAGCACAGATTTAAAAATATTACTATTTATTAAAATAACTTATGATTCAAGTAAATCTTCATCAAATTTGTCATATTATTTTTAAACGTGATTTAGAATAATCTGTAATTTTTTTCATAATTTTGTTATCGTTTTGAAAATATAAAACATTCTTAAGATTCTAACTCACTATTCTATATAATAATTTTTTAATGATTTTATTACAATTATCCTATGTTATTCTTTGTTACTATTTCTATATTCAATGACAAAAAAGTAGAGTCAGAATTTAAAATTTCTGTGAAGTCATCAAGTGTGTGTGTGTGTGTGTGTGTGTGTGTGTGTGTGTGTGTGTGTGTGTGTGCGTGCGTGCGTGCGTGTGTGTGTGTGTGTGTGTGCGTGTGTGTGTGATAAGAATCTGAACATTAAAGCAGCTATAAAGTATTTACAATTTATATCAATAAAATATATTTATATAAAAACATATTCAATTCGAGTAATCGATAATGTCTTATTATTTTTAGATGTTATATTTCTGTTTATTCACCAACATTCCTTCAGATCTAGCAATACAAAGCATCACAAATAAAATAGATAAAATATATTGTAAAAGGCATTAGCATTTCATTAACTGCATTTATTTCTGCTGTTGAATTTGTACTTTCGTCCACATATTTTACATTCAACAACAATATTTAAACAAAACTTTGATACACACATGGATTTCCCTTTAGCCCATCGTCGCTAATTTGATATTGCAGGATCTAGAAAAAAAAGCGTTGAACAGTTTAAACTTGGATTACTTTTCTACTACTGTTACGATATTCTGTTAATCTTTCGATTAAATTGATAATATTGTTAGTGTATTTAATAGTTTTCATTATCGATTACAATTTACTTATCAATTGGAATGTAATCGCAACATTAGTTTTCTAGATCTCTTTCTCACAATCAAAGATGCTATAATACAATTTTTTTTAATAGTTTCATAAAAGGACATTTTCAGGAAGATATTTATTATATATTTCGAGTCATCCTTTATGCCATAAGATTGGAACAATGTATAATCTTGTAGATAGAGCGATTTTGTTATCTCATCCGACTTTTCAGAGTGAGAATTTTGAATTATGTATTGAGTTAGACAATGACTAACCATTAAAATTAATTTGCAATCGCAGACTTAAAACAAGTTTTTAACGTATAATTTAGATAAAAATAATGAGAATATGATCAGTAATGTAAATGAGAACAACTCCAAAAGGAATAAATTTTTTGTGATGCCTCATATACATGATATTGCAGAAAGTATAGCAGCGTGTTTTAATAAGTCTTAATTAATTAAATAGGCTAATGTTTACTTTTTTAGGTTTTCACAGGTATTATCTTCAAAGATATCAGAAAGTTTATGGATTACTGCCGTGTTTTTATCCATTACTAATGGATGCCAATGTTTCCTGAACCTTGCCGTTTACTTCATCAGGTGAGGCGTATACTGATACTAAGCTGCTCCTCCAGTGAACTCTCTTTATATAAATTCTGTTGAAGAAGACAAGGATATATTGAGGAGAGAAGGAAGGAGACAACCTTGATTTTTCAAGAGAACAGTCTTCCATATTCTTCTTATTTTAATTTGAGTCTCTATTCAAATTGTCTGAATGTTTCTGTATTTTCAAAATCTCTCTGTTTCTCGGAAAATATGATATCGTTAGCTATAGTAGTCATTTTATCGAATAATATTTGTCCTGCCTCAACACTGTGTTCTGCCAATACTGATTGTATGACATATTTCGATCTGATATCCCGTTGATGTTCCTTCATGCACACATTGACCATTCTTCCGGTTTTATCGATGTATATTTTCCCGCAAGACTAAGATATTTTGTATCCTCCTGCGAAATTGAGTGAAGATCTTTAATCTTTAGAATGTCTTAAGATTTGCTCGGAGACTTCCTTGGAGACTTGAAAATAGTTTGAATACTATATTTGTTCAAAATCCTGTCGATTTACTCATTCCAGTTATTCCTTTTACATAAAGAAGAGAGACGTGAAAAAATAGAGAGACTTCTTTTGTTTAATTTTTCCTATGGTTGTTATGTATTTGAGTTCTTTATCCCATTTCTATGTTTACCGATTGTCCTATTCACATTCTTTTTATTGTTCCGCTGTAAGATTTGTTTCAAGTGGTTGAGTTCTGTTTATAGATATTCAATGCTCTATGCTCAAGTGAATGTATTGCCTACTGTTTTTGTGTCGGGTGGTGGTCGTGTAATTCATGTAAGCATCTCAGCGTGTGTTAGCTTTCTGTATATTTGATGAAGAGTATTGTCAGTCTTAATTCTTTGTGATAAGAACATCTAAGAAGGGAAGCTTACCATTTTCTTCTATGTCTATAGTGAATCGAATATTGGGATATTGATTATTGAGAAAGTTTAAAAATTTATGAAATTTATTATTGTCATATCTCCAGATTACGAATGTGTCATCTACATAACAAAATCAAACTTCTGATTTGTTGGTCGCCTTACTAAGGGCCTCTTCTTCAAAATGCTCCATAAAGATGTTTGCAATTACAAGGGAGATGGGAAAGGGAGATGGCCATCATAGCCATCTATTCATAGAATTCGTTACGTTGATTATTGTAGGAAAAATGTGTGATCGTTAGGTAGTGTTCAATTAAAGAGATAATGTTATTGGAGATTTTATGTGAAGTTTTCTTGATGGGTACATAATTAAGTGTACGTTCATGAGATACATAACTAAGTAATTTCCCGTTGCCTGCTTGAGCCTGATGTCGTTGACCACTAAGTGTTTCTTCCACAGACTTCTATTATATTAGACTGTTAACTCTCCATTTTTCCTAAAAGTATTGTCTGCGCCTAGAAGATCATACAGAAAAGAGTTGCTAATAAGTCTATCGTTTCTGCGATTGGTTTAAAAGTATATAGAAAGTATGCACAGCATGCAAATGTACTTATTCTGCGCATATAGTACATTTTGGTAATAGTTAAAAAGACGAGTTATCAGACTAGTGTTATAAGAACTCTGTGGATTCTTTCATTTTTAGAAATGATTTCTCCTTCAAAGGACAACAAGGTGCCTTGCTAAGCTTTGAGGTTGAATAAAATGTTTATTTCGGCACTTATTCGATCCCTCTCTGCGTACTTAGCTACTGATAGTATTGTTAAATGAAATGACTTTTTCAAGCGCTCAGCACAGACTATTTTTATTATAAGAGACGTCCAAAAAAGATTACAAAATGTATAGCGCCACAACTCAATCATAAAGTATGCAGCATATTTAGATCATATTTTATACACTCCCACTATCTTAAATGCTGCATAATACTTATCTAACATATTCAGAAACTTATAATGTTTTTCCGAGTTTAATCCTTTTGTAAGAATATCAACTGGCATGTCAGTTGATGACAGATATTCAATTTTTACTAATTTATTAGAAATAGCTTCTCTAATAAAATGATG